ATTGCTATTACATGGAAATGTTAAGGTTTAGATTGGTTGGTTGGCTCACATAGGAGGGTAAGTGTGGGTGCCAGTCGCAACCCGGTTTGGGTCGTGACATAAAATTTCAGAGATAAAAGGAGACGATGGAAAACTCCCTAAAACTCATAACGTTTGTTTAAATACAACTGCAGGTACAAGCAGGAAAGTTAGTGAGAAATCACGAAATACAAACTTAAACCAGTTATTCATAAAACCATTTACCCAAAACACACAAAAACATATACCCACAGAACCGCAAACTTCTACATACGTAGTTAGTATACAGAGTGATAAAAAAAGATACAACTATATCACACAATCATACATTGAAAATATATATAAGATCCAAACCTATTTGAATCTCAACCCAGATCTAACCAAACAAAAGATCCAAACCAAGACTATATAACCCAAAAATTACAAGGATATAATAGACTGATAGCACAACCAAAAACTAGTGCTAATCTAGTCAAGACATGTTGTAGTTATGGATTACCAAGTACAGTATATACATACGACGGAGAATAAATTAGTGGAATACCAGAGTTATACAAAGCATTTATTACATATAAAAGAGTTACAAAAGGAATTTTGTTTTATATTAAGTTTTATACAGCACTAGCAGAGATATTGTATGAAGAAATTAAGTCACCGATTCAAGTTATTAACATAGGATTAACAAAAGATATGATCGTACCAGAAGATATTGGACATCAGAACGAAATACCAAAGATAGAAATATCAAGTTTTTGTGCCAATAAAAGAATAATTGGTATATCAACTATAATACAGGAATTAGCAAACAACTATTTAAATGGAAACGCTATATGGAGTTATTACGCTAGAGATCAAGTTATGATATATTCGAACTCGAGGGAGTTAAGAAGAGCAGATATGGATGAAGTCCAGCGATGGATTTTGTCACTATTAAAACCAGAAGAACAACCTACGACAAGAGCATTGAAAAACGAATTTATTTTGGAAGAATTATTAATCAGATATTGCAAACTTAGTAGACACAAATATCCAGATCTCAGATGCTCCAAATGCAATGGAGAAGATAACATTATACCAGATGTTGATTTGGATAAGGATAAGGAGATAAAGATGCAAGATAAAATAAGGACGAAGAAAAGAAAAAGAATTATAGCAGACAAAAAGATAGAAATCTTTGAAAAACTGTAAAGATAAAGAGATAAGATTCCTTTGTACAGTTAATAACTTTTGCTTTTTTGAAAGGCCAATGTGTATAACCAGCCATTTGTAAAGTTTTGTTTAAAAAGTCGTAAAGTATACAGTAGACGCACTTATGTGCAGACTTAGGATTTAGTATATATAGATTGCCAAATTGTAAATGAAAGGCAGGCAATGCCAAACTAAAGTTCAAGTTAATAAACCCTCTCTCAAAATACAAAGCTCTCTCAAAGATACAAACTAAGAAAAGAACATATGGAAAAATCTGAAATACAATCAGATATCTCAAATAGTATGACAAATCAAGAGGCAAATGTATATATTGTTTATTAGATATGTAGAACTAATTTCATATATTCCTGAATATCATATATATGATCGATTAAATTTATGTTAGTTATTATACAATAGAAATATTTGAATCATGAATTTTAGTTTGCTAGTAAACGAGAAACAGGGAGAAAATTGCTAGACTATGCCATCCCATAGTGAAAATCGGTAGGCGAGGGATGTCGTTAGGAGAGTACACAAGGTTGAGGCGCTGATAAGTAGTAATTATCCGCTAAAGTAGGATGCTAGTAGTGACCGGAAAATATGATAACGATACTCTAGTTTATAATAAACTAATATGAATTTAATTAGATTATGATATGATAGGAAGGAATAACTGAAGAAAAACCTGCATAATAAAAAATAAACATGTTTACAATGTACGATGAAATAAGAAGCTATAAAACTTTAATTTTATATATATACTTAAAGATATAGAAATTGATGACATAAAAAGAGTTATATGGGAAAAAATATTTGAGTATGATTTAGAAGATATATTAAGTCAAAAGGGTATGAAATAGATTTACAAGAATTTTTGGGGATTGCGGAATTCATCATAAGTTAAGATATATATACTGTAGAGTAAAATATACCATTTTTGGGGGGTGCGGAATCCATCATAAGTTAAGATATATATATTGTAGAGTAAAATATATTTTATCATAAATTTCTTCTGATAATTGTTTTAATCTAATTATTTCTTCAAGGTTTGTTATTATGTGTTCCATATATAATATATCTTGGGTTCATTTATACATATTTAAATTTTCTTGTATTAATTGTTCTAATAATCTTTTAGTTTCCATAGTTTTTATCCAATATTCTAAATAGTCATAGTTCATTTTAATCTGAATCTATTTCTAAATCATATATATCTATTCTTTCTATATCTAATTCTTGTAAATATATTTCATACCACTTTTGACTTAATATATCTTCTAAATCATACTCAAATATTTTTTCCCATATAACTCTTTTTTATGTCATCAATTTCTATATCTTTAAGTATATATAAAATCAAAGTTTTATAGCTTTCTTATTTCATCGTACATTGTAAACATGTTTATTTTTTATTATGGAGTTTTTTCTTCAGTTATTCCTTCCTATCATATCATAATCTAATTAAATTCATATTAGTTTATTATAAACTAGAGTATCATTATCATGTTTTCCAGTCACTACTAGCATCCTACTTTAGCGGATAATTACTGCTTATCAGCGCCTCAACCTTGTGTACTCCCCTAACGGCATCCCTCGCCTACCGGTTTCCACTGTGGGATGGCATAGTCTAGCAGTTTTCTCCCTGTTTTTCGTTTACTAGCAAACTAAAATTCATGATTCAAATATTTCTAGTGTATAATAACTAACATAACTTTAATCAATCATATATATTATATTCAGGAATATATGAAATTAGTTCTGCATATCTAATAAACAATATACCTTTGCCTCTTGATTTTTCATGCTATCTGAGATATCTGATTGTATTTCAGATTTTTCTATATGTTTTTCTTAGTTTGTATCTTTGAGAGAGCTTTGTATTTTGAGAGAGAGTTTATTAACTTGAACTTTAGTTTGGCATTGTCTGCCTTTCATTTACAATTTCGCAATCTATATATACTAAATCCTAAGTCTGCACATAAGTGCGTCTACTATATACTTTACGACTTTTTAAATAAAACTTTACAAATGGCCGGCTATACACATTGGCCTTTCAAAAAAGCAAAAGTTATTAACTGTACAAAGGAATCTTATCTCTTTATGTTTACAGTTTTTCAAAGATTTCTATCTTTTTGTCTGCTATAATTCTTTTTCTTTTCTTCATCCTTATCTTATCTTGCATCTTTATCTCCTTATCCTTATTCCAAATCAACATATGGTATAATGTTATCTTCCTCTCCATTGCATTTGGAGTTTCTGTGATCTGGATATTTGTGTCCAATAAGTTTGCAATATCTGATTAATAATTCTTCCACAATAAATCCTTTTTCAATGCTCTTGTCGTAGATTGTTCTTCTAGTTTTAATAGTGACAAAATCAATCGCTGGACTTCATCCATATCTGCTCTTCTTAACTCCCTCGAATACGAATATATCATAACATCTCTAGCGTAATAATTTCATGTAGCGTTTCCATTTAAATAGTTGTTTGCTAATTCCTGTATGATAGTTGATATACCAATTATTCTTTTATTGGCATAAAAACTTGGTATTTCTATCTTTGTTATTTCGTTCTGATGTCCAATATCTTCTGGTATGGTATATCTTTTATTAATCCTATCTTTATAACTTGAATCGGTGACTTAATTTCTTCATACAATATCTCTGCTAGTGCTGTATAAAACATAATATAAAACAAGTTTCCTTTTGTAACTCTTTTATATGTAATAAATGTTTTATATAACTCTGGTATTCCACTAATTTCTTCTTCGTCGTATGTATATACTGTACTTAGTAATCGATAACTATAACATGTCTTGACTAGATTAGCACTAATTTTTTGTTGTGCTGTAAGTCTATTATATCCTTGTAATTTTTGGGTTATATAGTCTCGGTTTGGATCTTCGGTTTGGTTAGATCTGGGGTTGAGATTTAAATAGGTTTGGATATAGTTGTATCTTTTTTTATCACTCTGTATACTAACTGCGTATGTAGAAGTTTGCGGTTCTGTGGATATATGTTTTTGTGTGTTTTGGGTAAATGGTTTTATAAATAACTGGTGTAAGTTTGTATTTCGTGATTTCTCACTAACATTCCTGCTTGTACCTGCAGCTGTATTTAAACAAACGTTATGGGTTTTAGGGAGTTTCCCATCGTCTCCTTTCATCTCTGAAATTTTATCATCTTCCGATCGACGTAGCTCCGCATTTTTATAGTCATGTTGTTGACTTATATTAGCTTTAGACTTCAGGTTATCTTCATTAGTCTTTAGCTTTTGTATCTCATCGTCCACTATGATACAAAGTGTAGTAATGACTTTGAGTAGCTCTTCGATTGTATCTTCATTTTTGTTCTCAGTCTGAGTAGTTTTGTCTTGATAAGTAGTCTGCAACACCATTCTTGTTAGTCTTTATTACTTCAATTGTAAATGTAAAGTTTAATATATTTAATAACAAGCTTCTAATTTCTTTTGTTGTTACTGAATCTTGTATTTTTCTGGTTAACCACCATTTTACTTGTGTATTATCTGTTCTTACAATAAATTTGTTATATACAATATATGGCTCAAATGCTAATAAACATTTATTTACAGAAAATAATTCTTTCCTATTTATTTCCCATTTTATTTCCGTATTTGTATGTGTCTGAATAATATCTACAGTGATATTCTATATTACTATTATTATATTTATATTTCAATACTCCTCCATACCTCTATTCACTTGCATCAGTTTCTACAATATAAATAAATTTTTTATCTTCATCTGCAAACTATAATTTCGGTAATGTTTTCCATGATAATTTTATCTTTTGTATTTGTGTTTGATCTCTATTATAAAATGGTATTCTACGTCTTTCTTTAGTTTTTGTTGTAATGGTTTTTAAGTTTTCTGCTAATTTTGGTATATAATCCCTTTCTTGGTTAACTAATCCTAAAAAGGATTGTAATTTCTTTTTTGTATCTCATTGTTCATTTGAGGTTATTATTTTTTGTACTATATGCGTTTGCATCTTTATCCATTTTTATCTATTTGTGTTCCTAGGAATTCTATTTGTTTTTTCATTATTTCTGCTTTCTTTTTACTTAAACTTATTCTTCAGTGTTGTATTATACGTATAAATTTTTCTAATAATCTTATGTGTTCATTTTGTGTTTTAGAATATAATAACATATCATCAATATATACTACACAATTTTCTAGTTGTTTAAAATAGTTGTCCATAAAATGTTGAAATCTACCTGATGCATTTTTATATCCAAATGGTAATAAATTCCATTCGTAAAATTCTTGTGGTACTGTGAATGCTGTAAGTTTTTTAGATTCTTCTTCTAATTTCAAATGATAAAATCCTGATTCACAATCAAATTTACTAAAGTAATTATATCCTTATATTTGTCTTATCTTTAATATTTTATTTGGTATTGGATAATTATATGTTTTAGTTTTTGCATTTAAATTTCTATAATCAATTACCATTCTACTTTTTTCTCTTTTTTGTTCGCTATATTTATCAACAATAAATGTCAAACTTGTATGTTTACTATTACTTTCTTGTATATATCCATTTTTTAGTAATTCATTTATATGTATTTTAAATTCATTTAAATCATTAAAATTATATTTTAATGGTTTTTGTGTTATTATACTATTTTCATCAATCAGATCAATTTAAACTTCTGTTTTATATTTTTTCCCATCCTTTTAAAGGATCTTTGTCATGTAATAATTCTAATTATTCTTGGATTATTTTAACTTTATCTAAGGAAAATATAATTAATTCTATTCTAGGGTCTTCTTCTTTTATATTTTCTAGTTTTTGTGTAATTTTTCACTGCCTTTAATCCATTCCGTTGTTTTTCTTCTTTTGTTACCTACTCTTCTTGCTCCTATCTTTTGTTTACATGGTGTTGTGAACAATCAGTGTGTTTTTGTTATTATATGTGGATATAATTTTTCTAAAAATGGCATTCCTAATAACGTATCCTTTGTTGTTAGTTCAAAATTATATATTTCGTTTACAGTTAATATTTTATCTCATATTTGTATTTTTATATCTTTTGCCTTGTATGTGATCATACGTCCTTCATTATTAAATCGTGTTACTACTATTGGTGTTTTTAACTTTTCCCATTTTTCTTCAGGTAAACAATTATATTTACATATATCAGCCGCTGCTCCTGTATGTATCATTGGTGTATAATATCAGTTATAATATCGTTCTATTATTATCTTCACGAGTATATACATTTTCATATATTTCTTATATTAAGTCCTTTTTATTATGACTTTTTTATTTTGGTAATTTATCGTTAGTTGTTTATCCTCTATATTGTATGGTTTTACTTGTTCTAGCCATTTTATTCCTAATGTTATATTTTCATTTCCTTGATATATTTTAAATTTTATTATCATTGGTATACTTTCAATTATTATTTCTTGTTCCGTTGTTTCTTCAATATTTATTAATACTTTTGGTAATTCTGGACATGAGTGTTCCGTAGTTATTATTTCATCTTCCATTACTAACTCTCTTGTAATATAGCTTTCTTCTTGTCCTGTATTTATTAGTATTAAATATTTTCTTTGTTCCATTATTCCTGTTATATAATAATAGTGTGGTTTTATTTCTTCTTCTATTAATATTTGTGAACTTGTATTTATTCTTTTGGAACTATTTGAAGTACTCATTTTCGATGATGTTTGTGATATATCATTATTGCTTATTCTTTTTGATGTGCTTAGTCTTTCTTGTACTATCTCCAAATCTCCTTCTATATTAATTTCGTTATAACTATAGTCATTATTATCTATAACCGTTACTATTTTTTCAACGGGGTTTTCTATTTTTATTTTATTTATTTTGTTTTTTGCTGTTATTTTATGCTTTGTTGTTAAAAACATATAAATTTTTACTGTAAATATTTTACTTCCAGGTGTTAGCTCTATTCCGGACATTTTCTAATATAATACTAATGATTTATCTTTGTTTCTGTCATTAATTGCTACTGAGTAATTAGTACTTATTATAAATTTAAATTTTTGGTATATTAAATTACCTTTTACTGCACTTATTATACTTTGGGAAACTTACATAAATATATTATAATAAAAAAATATTTACCATTTATTGCAATAATAATTTTTTTCACTTGTTCACTTTTAATTCATTTATAATACAAGTTTAATACATATTACAAAGAACAATTTATTATTCAAATATAATACAAATTTTAATGATAAATAATACATTTATCACACATTTTAATACACTTATAATACAATGTGACAATTTTTTACCAAATAAACATGATAAATTTCAGAAAGCAATTATAATTCATATATATTGCATACATAATTCACTTTTAATATATATTACAGATTTAACAAAGTATTGCTATAAATGGTAATAAACAAAAAATATCGCTAAAATCAGTAATTATTTTTTAAAATGTATTAATTTATGTAATTTTTCCTTATACTTTTTTCTATAGGTTGTATAATTCTGTCATCTGCTAAATATATTTCTATAGGTGTATCTATTCCTTCTCTAAAACATGTTTTTATTAATATTTCAGTTCCTCCTAAATGTACATATTTAATTGGGTTTTTTGCATTTATATCTTGTATTTCTTTATTAATTATTCTCTTATTAATCATTGGTATTTTAGCTTTTCCTTTGGTATATTTACAGTCTATGATATGTTCTCTTTGGAACTACATAATATTCTTCTTTTTGTCTTTTAAATCAATTTTTTATTTTTGACAATTCTAATATTTTCATCACTGAAATCTAATTCTTTTCCTTTTATTTGTTCGAATATACTATTGTCAAATATTATTTTTTGCTCTAAAGTTTCTTCATCTTGACATTCTTCTTTATTTATTATTTGTATATCTGCTTCAGTCATTTATATTATAAAGTTCATTATCTGATTCTAATTCTATGTCATTGTCTATTTCATTTTCTGATATTTCATATATACTATCCTCGCTTTCTAAATCATAATCGACATATTCTATTTGTGTATATTTTTCATTTTCCATAATTATTTCTGCTATCTGTTTCCTCTTTGGATTTTTAGGCAATTTACAATCTTTAGCTATATGTCCTAATTTTTCGCGATTATAACAAGTACATTTCGTTAATTTTCTTTTTGGCCTAAATGGTCTTTTAGTTTTGTAATTTTTTACATAATACTTCTTTCTTGATTTTCTATATTTATATGTTGATCTATATTTTTTATAGTTTTTATTTCTATTATACTTCTTTTTATAATATCTATCTGTGCAACCAAATTGAGGTGCTACTTTATTTTTGCAGCATGCTAAATTTTTTATTAATACTTTTTCCATTTTTATGTCTTCTTTATGTTTTTCACAAAATTCTGCAAATCATCTTTGTAAGAATTTCATTGTAGCTCCTAAAGTATCTGTTAATTCTGCTTCATTCCAACTTTTTATTATTTTTGAACTAAAATGTTCTGGTAATTTTGTAAAATATGATTTTCTTAATTCCTTACTTTCTTCCATGTTATATGTTCCTTTATGATAATATTCTCTAAATGCGCATGTATATTCATCTATACAACACATGTTACATATTGTCAATTTTGCCATTAAATTTCTATTTATAACTTTTTCTTTATTTTGTTCTTCTACTTCTGTTGCCATACTACTAAATTCATTTCTTATAGCTATTTCATATTTATTTAATATTTCCATAGATGTTGTAGCAATTTCTCCGTTAAATTTTTTATTATTTCTTAAGGTCTTTATACTTTCTACTGTTAAATTTTGTAACCATAATTTTACTGTTCCTATAAGTGTTCTTTCTATATATCCTGGTGTTTCCGTCATTCCTATCTTGTTATTTATTAATTGTTTTGATATATATCTCATCCATAATTGAATTGTTTTATTTATATCTGCTACACAGTCTAAATCTAAAAAATTATGTTGTTCAGTTTTTGGTTTAGGCGTCCATTTATTTAATCTTTTAACCCATAAAATCTCTTCTCTATCATATTTTTCATAACTTATATTATAATATGTTGGATTTAAGTATTTTGGATTTTTTACTCCTAATGTACTAGGTTTTTCGTTCATGTCTATGCCTTATATCATCTTGATTATTTTCTTCTAATTTATCTTCTAATTGCAATCTTTCTTTAAATTTATTTATTTCATTTTCTAAGTTTCTTTTTTGTTTTTTTCTTTTTGTTTTATTTCATACATTTCTTTTAACATTGCTAATTCTTTTTCTAAATCTAAAATTTCTTTGTTTTTTATTTCTTCTATTTGTTGTACTTCTTTTTTTGCTTGATGTTTTATTTTTTCAATTTCCATTTTTCAATCTATTTCTTCATTTTCTTTTGCTATCCTAACCATAGCAGTTAAACTATCTTCTAATTTACCGTTTCTTTTTCTAACATTATACTTAAATTGTCACCTATTTTCTTATATCTTCTTCCTAGATTAGAAAATATTATTCTTGTTTTTAATCCTTCATAGTTTTCAAATATTTTTTTATCTATTGCATATTCTTCCTTATTCATTTATAAATTATGTTGTAGTTTATATTCTAGATTATCTATTTGTATTTCTAGATATAAAATAGTATTTATTTGTGTTATTATAGATTTTTCACAAATTCCTGCAAATATATTGTTATTTAGTCTATTTTGTCTATGCCTTAATTCTTTTCTTTTTGCCATAATTATTTTATCAAGTTCTTGTTTATATTCGTTATTCATCGTATTTTTAAGTATTTAATATATTTATATTCTAAGATTCAACGAAATGTCGGGATGAAGTCCAAAATGGACAGAGATGAATGTCACATGTATCAAAATAAGGGAAAAGGAATTAATGGAGGGTTTTGAACAATTTACATACGCAGTTATGTCTGTAACTAGAAATAATCATGTTACAGCTAATTCAATAATATCCCTAATTTAATTTAAAAAGAGAAAATTATCCACAATTTACTACAAGCGTAAAAAAAAGAGTAAGCATATGAAGAATCACCACGTGACATACTACATGCTACTTCTAATGAATCCATGTTGACAAATTGGCAAACAACCACATACTAAGCCATATGTTAATATAAACAGAAGGAAGTTACTCAAGCTATAATTGTAAGCTAATGCTATAATTGTAAGCTAGACAAAACAAGAAAAAATCATGTGAATATATAAAAAGAAAGAAACACAGAGAATATCGACAAAAATGCAAAGTTAAAGTTTTGTAGAGATTAGTTATATGCCTATATCTAAGCTAGCGTTTGACCATAAGTTTTCAAATATTTTTGATAAATATTATTTGAGTAAAAATTTTTGATGAAATTTCATCATGTGTTTGGCCATAAAATTTGGGAAATATATTTCACCTTTTTAGAAAAGTATGATTTATGCACACAAGTTTTAAAAACTATCAAAACTAACTAAAAGTTTGTATTACAAGTCAATTGAATATTCGTTACAACAATAACAAATAGTGTCAATGACACTAAAGCAATGTGGTAATTTGGAGTGAGTGCAACAAGAATTATTCCATAAATCGTGAAATAAACAAAGCACATGACTTTGTTATCTTAGAGCCAATTTTTAATAATTTTCATCAACAATCATATCATTATTTGATATTCACTAAATATTTCATCACTATTTTGGTGTTCACATAAAAAAATATGTAATACAACGCAAGCAACTACTAGAGAGGGTGTTTTTGTAAAAGATAAAAGATTGGGGTAAAATTTTAATTTTTAAAATATCCAAATAATGAGATTTGGCTCAAATACTAGAAAAAACTAATATTTAGAAATTTGGGGTATTTGCTAAAAATATTTACCAAATAATGGCAAATTGTATGGACAAACATTATTTGCCAAATTTTTCCCAAATATTATTTGAAAAATTTATGGCCAAACACCTGTCATTGGATAAATTTACCATAACAAAAGCATATGAATACACCAAAATAAAAAAAGGACATAGTCTAAGGGGTCTTTTGGTACAAAAATGAATAATGCAGGGATTAGCAATGCAGGGATTAGCAATGCAGGGATTAACAATGCAGGGATTAGTAATGCAGGGATTATTTTTATCAAGTGTTTGGTTCATTTTTTTGTGTGTGGTTTAAATGTTCTTTTTAAAAAAACTTTCCAATTATACCCTAGAGTTATTATGAGATATTTCGTGTAATTGAGTCAAAGTAGATAATTAGCGGAGAGTATTATTTTTTTATAACATTTTTAACTAGTTAGGAGAATAAAATTTTTATTGTCATGTTCACTATTTTCTCACTTAAATTATTTGAGAGTAAATAATTGTCATCTTAATAAATTAGAGTTAATAACTCAAAAGGTCACACCACTATAATGATTATAGAGAAAATTTATTGAACTTTGTTTTGTATCAATGAATTTTAAAAAACTCTTTATCATAAAATAAAATAAAAATATAAAATAAATATAGAAAAATAAATTAAACTATTTTTATACTCGAGATGTGTGTGTATATATATGTGTATACACACTCTTGTTTTAGACTGCTTGTGTAATGTTTAATGAACTTTCATTAAGAGACAATATTTTACTTATGAATTGTTCTTAAATTCATACATCAACATTAACATATTAGTCGGATTATAATATTTTATATTAATAATAAATAGATTACGTAATTCATATTTTAGAAACAAAAAATTATATCTAAATAATAAAAGTTGCAAGCTAATTTATTTAAATAACTTTATTAGTATAAATATAAAATATAAAATATAAAATATAAAATCAAAAAAATAAATTAAATATTAAAAGGATTTGAGGGATATTTTTGTCTTTACCTAGAATAGTCCATAGTATTAGAGCTAATACCTCCAAATGGAAGGTATTAGCAATACACCACATAATACCATGTGGGATGTATTAACTAATCCATGGATTAGTTATACATAGGCTCACTTTCCTACCAAACAAAGTATTAAATTATACCACATCTAATACATGGATTATTATTTTTAATACATCCTACCAAACACCCCCTAAAAGTTCAAAACCAGGCATATAATAAAGCTACTGTTGTCAAGAGTTTACGACAAACAAAATACTTATCGCTAACAAGAAGAATCACGATTGATATGCTTTTCATTTTTAAAAGCAAAAAGTTGATATATCGTGCTGAATTAGTAACCAACCTTATGGCAGCGTCAAGAATTTCAGACAAGCTTGTCATACAACAAGAGGAAACTCGAAACACAGTGAGAATTGCACAAAGAAAACCAAACAAGGAACATAATTTCTAAGGGACAATATAAATAAAAGAAGAGCATATCAGAATGAGTAAAAGAAAAGACAATAACTAAGTTCACATTAAGGTCGATTCAAAATCTATAGACAGAGATACCCGCTAAAATATTCATGTTAATATGTCCTAATAACTCATAACAGTAGACACAAGGGAAGAACATTCTCAGCTAAAACATAAATACAATTAAATTCCAACATATGAAAACCCAATAGTACTAAGAGTAACTAGCTAGCCAAGAGTTGATGAGGAAGCTGAAAACAAAGTACAAGGATGAGAAGATGTCAAACACAAATCATTTTGAATTCAAACAAACAGAGGAAAAAAGTGTATATCCCTTAAAAGCTAATACAACCACACGTAGTCAAAGCAACAAGGCATTAAATCAAATTAGTCGCTGAACAGTGAACTAAAATTACAATCCTGAATATGACTTAATAACAAAACAAGGAAGTATACCTCTTTTGGAGCAGCGAGACTAGGACAAAAAGCTTAACAATGAAGCATCTACCACCACAAGTTAGATTCAAATGAAACTCCGGCGAAGCTCCGATGAGACGAGAAGATTCAATAATCTGAAACTTCCAAAGTTCCCCCTAATACTTACTCCCTCTCCACTCTAAGACATCATCTTAAAACATGGAGGAGATGGGGCCATTTATAGGGGGAGCTTGAGTGATTTGGGAGGAAACCGTTGGATTTGAAATTCGAAAATCACCCTCCTCTTAGGAGATAAGTTTGCCAGCCAAGAATTGTACCAACTCTCAACAGCTTGGAAAGGATGGTCGTCCGATCTTAGAGAAAGAGCGGACAAAATAGGAGATTGAGACACTTGGATTCTCCAATGACTCCTGGTACGGAAGGATAAGGAAAAAGGAGAGGACGACACAGCTAGAAGTGTGGCTAGAGGTCGCGATTTGCTGCTGATTTTCTGGGTTTGCAGCGTGATTTATTCGTTGTTTCTTGCGTGGAGAAGAAGAACGATGGGACAGTCGGGTCAGTTTTGTGATGTTGTTTGGAATTTTTGTTTATTTGGTTGTTGAATGAATTGGGTTTGTGGTATTGATATGTAATGTTGTATTGGGATGGGCTTGGCATTATTTGGAGGAAGAATTGGGCCTGGTTTTGTGAGCAAAAGGGCCAAAATTTGGTATACAATTGGATTCAAAGAATGTCAATTAAGTTACAAATTGAATTAAGAATGTAGCTAATTTGAGTTCATTTAGATAAATTAATATTAATTAAATAGTCTCTTAATCTTAACGAGATATAATAATTAATTTTTATTATAAGCTATTACTCAAAAATATAAACTATAAATTAGTTAAACTAATTAATCAAATATTTAAGTAAAATTACAATCTTTTTGAGATGATTTTCAAATTTTAATATGATAAATATATACAAAATTATATAGTCTATACAAACTATTTTTTAACATTTTGAAATTTATAATAATGACAAAATTACTTTAAAATGATTTGAAAAATATTTAAAATTTTATAAAATTTAATTATTTCAAATCGTTTGAAATTCAAAAAGCTCGATGACTAATTTATATTGTGGAAGGCCAAAATTGGGTGTCAACAGTTGTCCCTCGTTTGACTCGGATTGATGAAAGAAATTCGAGAGAAATTATATTGACGAATTCAATTTTGACCGACCACATTCATCTTTAGGAAGGGATTTCGGTACGGACTTTAAGAATTATGGATGAACCCGGTAGCGGCTTTCCTACATATCATAGACTATATGAGAATTCTGGTCATTTGTAGTTCGATACGCTTGATTTACCGCACGATTATTAAAGAATTCAAAACCTATCCCAATATCAAATTATAAAGAGACCAGAATGCTCGAGAATAATATTAGAGAGAGGATGCCGGAATACAGCCGAATTTTCAACATTGAGCCCGCCTACATATTCTTAGACTTAAGGAATCAGGTAGTTTGTAGTTCGACTCAATCGGTTGAAAATGAAATCTATTATGCAAGATAACCTTTGGTTCTAGAGGAATGACGAGTAAGTTGAGTGTTAAAAAGAGGCTTGCAACCTCTAGCCATTAATGTGATGCACTTCAAACCCATAATTAAGAACTTAAATGGACATAATTTTCATAGCTCATGGTGCATTGTCACTCAGATTAGAAAGTTGCCTTCGGTAAGAGTGAGATGTTTACCGGATGCGAAATTGAAACCGATGAATTAAAAGAAAAACCCACATGCCTTTTGATAGGGGTGTGGTTTAATTGTGGTGGAAGTTTCTCCTCAGCTCTCTTCTAAGATTTTGATACTCCTCTTTGGACTATGTTTCAGTTTGCTGCTAAGAAAAAGTTTAACGTTGTGCTGCATATCGATGTCGTCCGCAGCTGTGGTTTGATTTGAGAATTCATTCTCTTGGATGCTCTCGGCAGAGATTGAAACAAACTTGTTAGTAGAAACTGTATTTTATATCGAGAGGTGTTATGTTTTACCCTCTTCGGCACATTTTTAAAAATATTTTGACGTAAGCTTCCATCACTTTTGACACAGTAGATGATGAATTGATATGATGCGACACGATGATGACTTTATCGAGAATGTAATATTGTTGATGACGATACTTCACTGATAGAATGATGTTGCTACATTAGTGATGAAGATTTTGCTACTCGATCAATAAGATGATGATGCTACTTTGATGATTCATTGGCAGAATAATGTAAATCTAATGGTAGGATGATGTTGTCGAAGCTTGATTGGTAAGATGATGTTGATCTCTTGGCATTAGAAGAAGCAATGACATCTTTCAGAGTTTGAAGATGCAATAACCTTCTTGGCGTTTGAATATGCAATGGCCCTTTCGGCGTTTGAATACAATCGCCCACTTGGCAAATAAATGCAATGCCTCTCTTAGCGTTTGAAGATGCAATGGCCCTTTTGGTATATCAAGATGATGACCCTCTTGACGTTTGAATGCAATATTCTCTCGAAATTTGAGGATGCAATGGTCTTCTCAGTGTTTGAATGCAATGCTCTTCTCGGCATATGAATATGATGGCCTTCTTGGAGGTTTGAACGCAAGGTCCTCTCGACATTTGAAGATAATAGACCTCTCGACGTTTGAAAATAATGGCCCTCTCAGCATTTGAAGATGATGGACTTCTGGGAAGTATGATATGAATGGTTTTCTCTTCTATTTGAATATGAACGACCCTCTCGGCAATTTGAATATGCAATGTCCCTCTTGGCAGTTTGATTATGCAATGTCCCTCTCAGCGTTTAAATATTATGGCTCTCTTGGCAATTTGATTATGCAATGACCCTCTTGACAGTTTGATTATGCAATAGCCCTCTCAGAAATTTGAATATGCATGGCTCTCTCGGCGTTTGAATATGATGGCCCTCTTGGCAATTTAATTATGCAATGTCCCTCTTGGCATTTTAATTATGCAATGGACCTCTCAGCAGTTTTGAATATGAATGACCCTCTCGTCTTTGAATATGATGGCCCTCTTGGCAATTTGATTATGCAATCGTCCTCTTGGCAATGGAAGATTATGACCCTCTTGGCGTTTGAAGATGCAATGGCACTCTCGAGATTTGAATATGAATGGCCCTCTCGGCGGTTATAATGTGATGGTGCTCTTGGCAATTTAATTATGTAATGGCCATCTCGACAATTTGAAATATGTAATGGCGCTCTTGGGAATAACATTAACTCCTTTGATAATATGATATGCATGACTTCGTCGTCATAAATACAATCTCCCACTGGGTGGATCACATTGCCGTGTCTGATATCAACGAGATTTGTGAATATTCTCCAATAGTTCTTGATGCTGAAAAACTATAATTTAATATATTTGTTGATGCTTGTACATGTTGAGAGTGATGTCTTCACTTATTTCCATTTTGAACATTTTGTGTTCAATGTAACTGGTTCTTTGTTGGAGATTTGAACGAGGTGTTGCTGCTCGTATTTCAAACAACTGCTTTTCTTCTAAAGAACTCGAATACTTTTCTTTCTCCATAGAAAAGCTGTCAATTTGGGTAGATACTCGACCTTTTGAATTCTCCATATTTGTTGAATAGAGAAATATGATGATCTTGAGGCAATCTTGTAGACCTTTATCCACAAAAAAATTATTAGTTTTTTGAAACAAACTGATCTGTGTTGACTTCTTCAAGCGCTTGCTCTTTCTCTTTCTATCTTCAGTTGATCATTCCGGTCTCTTTCTTCTTGATAGACATAAGATGAAATTATACAAAATATATGCAACATTAAAAATCTTGATGGAAGAATATTTTTTTTGAGAATCCATTTGGCAAAGGTCATTGTCAAATATCATGTCATGCATTGCTTAAATGAATGTCCTTGTTTCAAACTTTTGACATGTTTGATGGCTTGTTTTTGGAGAATTCAAAATATCCTTGAAGCTTGAGCAATTTCAGACTTGTTTCTCCTGAAGTCCTCCATGGTTTGAAAGTTTTGTAGTTGACTTTGAAATCCAACAGTGTTTGAGATTGCTAAAGTTGACTTTGAACTTTGACGATGCTAGAGGTCGTTTGAAGTTAGCTTTACACTTTTGATCATGCTCAAAAGGTTCAAAATTGACTACATACTTGTAGTGATGCTTGAAGAAATTTTTCAACCCATCCTCCAAAATTTAAGTCCCAGTTGGATGTCTTGGAGTATTTCAAATATTTGATATATGAGTTGTAGATTTTTTTGAGTCCCTCTCAAAAAATCTTTCCTAGTTGCAATTCACAATCTGACTTTAGTCTTGACTTTTTAGAGATTTTTTTCATGAGAATTTTTGAGTGCCTCTCAAAAATTTGTCCCGATTATATGTCTCAGCATATCTTGATTTTTTTTTATATATGACTTGAAGAGTTTTTTAGATCCCCTGAAAAATTATATCCCAGTTACAACTCACAATGTATCTTAAGTCTTGATTTGTTGGAGAGATCCTCTTTTTGAGAATTTTTTAGTCCTTCTCAAAATTATGTCCCAGTTTCTATTGTAAAGAAAAATAGAAATCTTACGGGAGATATGATCGAACCCTTGTGGCGACTACGTACCCCTTTGAGGAAGGAATAAGGTCATACGTAGTTCCCCCTCGAGGATTAAAAAAAATACCGAGGTTGACATAGGCCGCCTACGTATCTCATTCTTGAGAATTCAGTTAGTTCAAATTACAAAAGATAATTTCCTAACGATAAAATATGAGATGATTACAAGTGAGTTGTGTAATTACATGAAAGTAATCAAAGAAGTTCTGAATCTTCAACTCTTGATATCACTTGAGTCAATTCGCCACTTGAGATAAACTCTATACTCAACCCTGACATGTTATCAGACAAATTTATCGATGTATTGCCTAAGTAAGTTGTTGGGTTCACTTTTACGTGCTTCTGTCAGATAGACTCTTATTCTAGTCTTCTGGACACAATCATCCTTTTATGTGTGATCCAGATTTACTTATCATGATTCTCGAGTTTCTCAACAATGTATCATGATCTCCTCATCACGGTCTTAGAACACATCGTGATCTACCTCATTTGTTCATTCAACTTGTGACGTGACATAATATTGATAGTTTTTTTTAAAAAAAAACATAAATTATTTTTTATTGAAACAAGAAAGACTATTAGATAGAAAGATTAAGCGAGTGAAATGAATTTTTCGCAATAGAAGAGGCTTCCATTGAAAATAAGGAAATACAAACTATGGCATGCTCATGGCCTATTTGCCTTTTTCAAAACTTTACGAAAAAAATTTAAAATTTACATAAAAGGTCAGGTGGGTCCCAAGCCTCATTCAGACTACCACTGATTTTAGAAATGATATACAATTCATCTTTGTAAATCAAGATGAGCGGGAAAGAACATCGTGGAAATCCAATTAAGAACTCTCTCCATTGGCTTGGTGTCTCGTATGTCTTATGTCTCGATCGTCTTCTTTGATGCAACATCACTTTCTTCATCCTTAGTTCCTTCTCTTAGATTGTCATCATTGGCATATTCCTCTACCACTAAAGACTGAAACGGATGAGGCAAAACTTTGGTG